TTTGCTAATATTTTTACAAATAAGCGCATATATGTATAATATGTATTCCCCATAACATATAACTACAATAAGGGATGTGAAATACCAGAGAAAAATAACTTTCATGGTATGATCTGATTGATTTATTTATTTCTGGTTAGCGTTATTTTCCTAGCGAGTTAGTTTTCTACTGAATGGGATCATTTAAAAACCCTACTCCCAATCCTCCTCCTTTATCCGGTCTTAAAACCGGCAGTAGCCCCAGACGCGATGCAGGAGAAGTTTTTCATGGTATAGCAATGTATGTGAATAATGGTATATTGCGGCCAAAAATAATGACAGTAATAAAAAAAATAGGATTGGCTCTAATTTGATAAAATCAACAAAACCTGTTTTACACAAAACACCAGATAGAAGAACCTTAGTTCAAATAAAGTACAACATATTATCAGGTTACTTACCCTAGATATTGTATTTCATTGTCGCTAACTGACAGACAGACAGATACAACGCAGAACTTCGTACATAAGTACATCAGTTCAGGTCGCCATACCACGTCAGCACAGAGACGTAACTGCCCGATCGTAGCTGCTACCTTGACGTGGTGGTCGGGCTTGCCTATCGTGATGACCCAACCGATCTATACTGGCTGGAACATATGTACTGAAGGTTCTACCATGACAGGCAGGTCGATTGGAGAACGATGAGACTAAAAGCAGCTACTCAAGGTCTGAGGGCGAAGTCGTACTGCTGACTGCAGAGGATTGTGACAGCAGTAAAATATTTCCCTCGGACAACCAGCATCTGCAGCGATGCTACCCTCTCACAAGGAAGGAATGGTTAGAAAAGGTCGACCCTAAAAATGTCACACCTCACCCTACCTCATGGATTCCTGTATCCGTCGGTAAGGGTGCCCACTAAGGGCTTTTAAGAGCGGAACTAATACTAAAAAAACCTTTCATCAAAAGGCCATGCGTGACCGGCCTCAAGCATCTGTCCCTTGAACTCTGCGCTCACGCTCCCAGGTCTCCAAGACCAGCACTAATCTGTCTTCCTTTTCAGGTTCCTAAACAAATAACCTTCCACGGTGTGGGCAGCCAGGAAGTGACAACCGCCCTCATACCCGTAACAGCACACGAGACCAAATAGGTCAAAATCAAATCCTTCTTACACCTCGTAGCTAATTGAGCTCATATATTATAATGTATTAAATGTTTGTAACGTTTAATAGTTTTAACAGATTTTAGTTAGACATCCGTTGAAAACCATGGAAAACTAGAAAAACTATTGGTCCTAGCATAAGGCGCCTAGCATTTATGTTTCTGTGACTTTATTGCCAAGAATTAAAACTGGAAGTTCCATTCTCGCGCATTACCGGTTAATTTTTAGACTGTTCACTCGGTATTCAATGATGTGCACGTTTAACTTCGATCTATTCGTAGTATCGTGCAACCATCTTCGAAAATATACACAGCTAAGAAGTCCCATACTAGGGAGAGATATCCAGTTTAGAGCAGTTTTTTTAACTAACATCAGTCTAAGATGTTACCAGTGAAACTTTAAAAAATTTGAACAATTCCCTATAGTTAATACGATATAGTTTGCCATTACTGTATCATTTATTAAAACAGACAGTTTTAAAATATAGTGATTTTACCGAATGAAAACGTTTTGACTTAAAATCAATGATTCCAATATACTGAAACACCTAATGTTGCGTTATTTCTAATCCTTACAAACTTCTAACATTGAATTATGCGCTGTGATCGAAAACTTTTAATTTGTTGAATATCTCAGCCACGTTTTCTCAACTATTTGAGATATTATTCTTGAGATTTCGTAAATACAAGGGTAAATAAAATGACCGTGTAAATAGTTGACTTGATAAATGAAGATTACACTGATCACTTGAGAGCACCGATAATCATTAATAATCTTTATACAAACACATTATTGTAAGAAATATAGATCAGATATTATTGAGAATGAATTTAACGAATATCGATCTTACCTTGAAATCATGAGTCGATCATTGTTAGGCCATCATTAGAAACCTTGAAGCACTACATGGGCGTTTCGTACTGGTAGCGGATTCACCAGAAGTGCTCATCCACGACGCCTACTACGCATTGGATTCAAACGTAGGACCTTTGGTCTTGCTCGCGAACACCTAACCTTTAGATCACTAGACATGCATCAAACGTCCAGTTTTTCCAGGTTATTAACGGGGGGGTCTAACGTTGATTGATTCATCGTTTCAAGATAAAACTACCATCTCAATAACATTCTGAAATAATGAAGATCTATCACCTAGATAACTATTTCTCACTTCAATACAAGAAAAAAATTTCAATTCTTAGGATTTATAACGAAATTCAGATAATTAAACATGCATGCTAAGTATACATTATATGAAATTGTTATAATTTGTATGGTCTCGTCGATTACAGTTACAATATGATACCTGAGCGGATTTTATTCATGCTGTACAGTATATGACACGAAGCTTTTTATCAAAAATGTGTTATTCTTTCTCCCTATTAGTCATACAATTTGAAATTAATGTAATACTGATCTCGCCTACTTGTAATGTCGGTATGCAGGTACATTAGATAAACAACAGTGATACTTGTATTTTTTTTATTTCGAATTGACCATTGATAATTGAAAGTATTTTATTAAATTATTCATTAAAACGTTATATTTTTATACTTTCAACTTAACAGAAAACATTTACTGAATTTTGGAGGTTTGTGTTTTTACACATTGTTAGACCAAAATATCGTAACAGTGCTCACTAGTGACTAGCTTCGTGAGGAAATTCTCGCAGTTCTAGTTGAAAAGACGGGACCAATGGAGTTCAACCCTGTCGAGTGTAGGCAGTAATTACCAAAGACAAATGGGTGAGGTCGCGCAAAATCCCTAGATCAATCAGATTTAGACATTACCACCACTGGATCCCGGCCCAGTGGTCCGATGGTCAGGCGTTCGCTCACAATAACGGAGGTCACGGGTTCGGATCCTGCGAGGTGCAAGAGTCGTGGTTGCGCACTGCTCATGAGTCCCGTACCAGGACGCAACGGCCGTCCAGTGCTGCCAGGTTTATAATGGTGGTCTAACAATTTACTGAATTGTAATTTAGCATTATACAGTGTTTTGTTGCATACATGAAAATATTAACTCAAAAACATGACGTAATATTAAACAGTAATTATTGAATATGAAAGACAGCAATTATTTCATATACATTCCATCTTTATATATATAGAAGTGAAAAAAATCCCAATTACTCATGATAAGTCACGAATACGGATAATATATCTTCTGTCTGGTGCTTTACAGTTATGATTTCATTCAACGATAAATAAACTGAATCAGTAGTCTAAAATATCATACAAATAGAGATAGATGGTAGATAGCAAAGGAATTAGGGCTCTGCATTTCATCCTATTTCAAACTTGTAAGATATATGTATCTGAATACTACAGTTGATATTCACTATGAAACTCAAACACAACATCGTTTGATCGCAACTGAATTATACTGGGTACGAGTCTTGTATTGCACATTAGCTCTAAGTAAATAAGTATATTCAACTGAGTCTCAAACAGAAAGAAACGTGTATCCTGGAATCCACTTTTAACCACCCCATGCATCACTACTTACAGTGTTTGTGAGTTGATGACACTAGTGAAACAAACTACATAGAATGCATATATGCTGAAAGTAGAGTGATCAGTTGCAGCCCTTAACATCAGTGGGTTGATACAAACAACCAATACAAATGAAATAGTTTACAATTAGTTTTGTTTAATTCCTAACTGTTTTCTCGTTCATGAAGTGTTCACCATGTTCATGTTACAACAAATATTAGTAATGGTTATGAATAAAGTAATAATGATGTTATGATATCTTAATTAATTTACGCGGTTGTTAAAATGACCTTGATAGTTTCACATTACCCACCAATCGATCGTCATAAAAATAAACAAGATCAGAATTCCAACATTCACAATCTTAATAAATAAAAGCTTAATTGCATACAAAAATCTTATAAAGCTAATACATAGTTGTGAAGTGTTTACTATCAATTTTTCAGTTCAAAGTTCAAGTTGTTAAACATTCATTAATAAGTGCAGATCATTTTGCTTTCAAAAGATGATGAGGCCAAAAATAGTTTTACAATTCGTAATATTTTTTGTATAGATGAACATGGTATCTAGGTAGGCATTATATTTGACGTAATCTCCGTAACAGTTAAACAAACCAATAAACTAATTCATGTATCTTCACATTTCCCAAGACCACTAAGCCGATATTCAATGGTGTTAATGTCTAGCTTTGATCGATCTAAAGATTTTGCGCAACCTCACTCACTATCTTTGGAAAGTAACTGCCTTCACCCGACAGAGTTGAACTCCAAGGGTTAAGGTGAGGGAATTGAAATTCTCACTAGAATTTCAGGCTAGCCAACAGAGAGCAAATTTTATGATTTTTGATTATAAAGTTATGAAAAACTTTTTTTATACATTCTCGAAGTTCTAGGGAGAAGCCAAAACCGGTGACTGGCATTCAATCCAATTGTGTGTAGGCAGTAACTACCGATAACAATGACTGAGGTTGCACATTAACATCGTAGGATTCCGGCTCAGTGTTCGAGAGGTTAGGCATTCAAGTGCAAGACCTAAATTCCTGACTTCGATACCTCCATGTGGGGATCGTAAGTGCGCACTCCTGATGCTTCCTAACCAAAGGACTTCCATATTTCTAACTCTGATCCATTCATGATATCAAATTTAATATTTTTATATAACCATTTTATTTTCAATTGTTCATTTAGTATTTTGTTTGTAAAAGCACATTATTTATCAACAATCATTGTGAAAGTGAATAGCAACAATATTTCTCTTCTCACTGCACCAATTCATTTCATTCGTAAACATAATTCATATATAATCTTTTTAAAAATAAAATATTTACTTATTTTTCAAGCTATAAAACTTTACAAACAAAACACTTACCTAATTTTTTTTAATTTGTATACAGAATCACTAATCACAAGTTGTTGATAAATGTCTTTTTTTTTCTGATGAAATTTCACATGGAATACAAGTAAAATAAATAAAGATTAATAATAATAATAATCTTTTTTTCTATTCAGAATAAATAAGTATTTTGTTTTCTAGATTGGTGGAACTTTATCCACATATATTCCTCATTGAAAATTTTGAAATGAAATTTTTTATTCCCATCAGTATTTTTATTCCCATTTATCAGAAGAACAACAGAAAATTAATTTGTATCAATTGCGCTGATCAATTCAATTTCCAATTCACATTGTCCATAATGAAAATTTTTTAATAAAAAAAAGGCGAATGGCGACTCAGTCAGTGCATTTGAATCAATTTTTTAATGTGTGTTGTTGTTGAATTTTATCATCCGTTTAATACTACATATGGGTGCAATTGTAAAAATGCATCAATAATCTTATTCTTTTTTTCTGATTGGTTCCTGTTAATTGACCAATTGTCGTGTAAGATTTCTTTTTGTATTCTTATAAAATGTAATGTAATGTTATGTTATGTAACAATATGAATGATCAATGAAATATGATTAATAAACCAGAATGATGATTGGTTGTTTGAAATTTAGAAATAAATTAAGAAAGAACACTGGTTGTGTACTACATGAGTAACAATTAAACTAGTTGTTTTTTAAAATAATCTTTAAAATGTACTCAGAAATTCAGTCAAGATGTTTAGAATTTACGGATAAAATCTTGAGGAGATTTATACGATTCTGAATAAATCAACATTGTTATTGGTTACGCTACTCAGAGATTTATAATGACATGCTTTGTGTAGTGTGTCAATTTACTGTGTGTTCTTAAGTTCGGTAATTAGCTGGTCTAGACAATCGTTACTAATTAGCTTCTGACGGTTTATAAATCAGAAGGTGAACTCGAAGTGATGAATACGTTTATTTGGGACACACCACAAAGCGAAGCGGAAAAGCAGTGAATAAAACGAATGAAGCGACGTGAATTGGAGAAGGCTGTTGAGCCAACTCCTAGGATTACAATGCAAACGAATGGGCGAAGGAAGCGAATGAACAGGCGAATCGCGTTGAAGAAGGCTGATGAGCCGACTCAAAGAGATAGAGAGTGACTAAGAATATAAAGTCAGACAACTATAAGACAGACATGCAACAAGCGAAATAGGCACATATGAATAAAAGTGACGAATAGTTGACAAGTGGGACACGTCATGTGAGCTCATACAAACCAGACAATAATAAGAACGAATGGTACATATAAATTGTTGCAATACAAATGGCTTGGTTAAATAAATTAATCGAAATGGCTTAACCAAATTAAATGTAAGCGAACTGGAATATATGTGGAGGCACTACACTTTGTATTGGTTTGGTGTCAGTGGCATAACAACGACTCAGTTTAATTACAATATATCATATTCTTAGTATAATTTGAAAGTTGAGAAAAATACGTTGAACTGCTTTACAATAAAGCGTGGAATATAATTTAAGTTCGACAATGAGGTTCTAACAGTGTTGTATAAGCATTTGAGCAGAGACAGATGTAAGGTGATGTTGAGATATAGTTGATTAGGTAATACAATAGGAATCAATCCATGTTTTTGTTCCACTGTGAATTTAATCGAAAGTGTTTGTACAGAAGGTAAAACTATTATCACTACTCATTGGATATTAGTATTATATCAGTGATACTGGGCAGTAAGTTTGGTCTTTTCTGAATTTAAAATGAATCTATCACTTAACGAATGATTCTTATCATCTATTTTGAAGTATAATTCATTGTCAGCTTCGAAATGAACTTTTTCTGGTGGATAGATTTAGTAACTCTCTTTAAGTTTATACTTTTACGAAAGATATGCATTGTGAGTATTGGTAATTTGCGTCAAGTGTTTCTTGGAAAAGGCTAATTGTAAAACAGTCAAGATAAATTGCATGAAACTATAGGTTTATTTGATGTATATTATATCAGTTTAGTATTTGTGAGAATTCGAGATTATCTTATGCACTGCATACAATTGATCCTTTCAAGAATTGGTCACAGTTTGTTAGTTAAGCTTTGGGTCAGTTTATGAATTAATTACTTACTTACTTATCCCTCTTGGAACATTCGCCGCCGACCAGCAGTTTATCATCTAGCGAATTAATTTGTCTTAATAAATTACCAGATTTATATGGTGTTGCATGTTCATACAAGTAAGGTGGACATAAGACACTTAGTTTGATCTCGACTGACCCTTTCTTCATTTTTAATTACTCGAAGTAGTTCAGTTACAATCTTATGAATTTAAGTCACTTTTCTCTCTATACATCTCTCAATTTTTTTTTGATTTTCATTATATTACGCAACCAAAATTACCCTGAAAATTCTGATATCTTCACTCTGTAGTGCACGTACCTTTATGTCGAGAACACAGAGTTTGTCCTAAGCCTACGGACAAATTAAGTAATCCGTTCTTCCCGACTAATTATTCACTCGAGATTTGACCTTGTCACCTATTCGCTTTTACCTTGGTTGTTCCTAACCGAGTATGTGTGAGTACAGCTTATTTCACTTATTGCATGTCAAGCTTAGTTTGTTTGACTACATTTACTCATTCATGCTTTATCTCATGGCATTGGCTCACTCACATTCTCTACATCGCTTCACTTTGTTTTAAAGCTTTGTATTTCCTTGTTTGTCTTCACGAACGACTGCGCGAAATAAACTCATCAAACTGAGTACATATTTGACTTCTGGTCACCGCTATCGCACTAAAGTGGATTGCCTAAAGGAAAGATTTATTTCATAGCATGCTCGAACGTTATTAAATAAAGCAGTCAGCTCACGGACCACTTGGGTGGTGATCATGGCGCCTAATCTAACGCAGCCACTAAAGCTTTGAGTGTTTATAAACCTCTGTTAAAATTTTAGTTGATAACTTCTTTCATATTTCAAAAAGATTATTTGCACATGTGAAATCATTAATCAACCATTGTTAGACCACCATTAGAAACCTGAAAGCACTGAACGGCCATCTCGTCCTGGTATTGGACTCATCATTAATGCTCATCCAAGACTCCTGCACCTAGCAGAACTCGGATCCCGGACCTTGGGACTTGCACCCAAACGCCTAACCTCGGGACCACTGGGCCGAGATTCTACAATGTAAATGTCTAACTCTGATTGATGTAGGGGTTTTGTGCGACCTCCCCTGCTTGTCTTTGTTAGTTACTGCCTACACCTGACATGACTGAACTCCACTCATCATGTCTTCTCACTAGAACTCGAAGATTTTCCTCACAAAGCTAGTCGCACCCAATACCGAAGATCCTGGGTACGAATCCTGCAAGGTGCAGGAGTCGTGGATGCGCACTGTCACTGATGAGTCCTATCCCTCAACGAAACGTCCATCCAGTGCTTTCAGGTTTCTAATGGTGGTCTAACAATGATTGATTGATGATTTCAAATGTGTTAAAACAATCATCTCCGTTAATGCAATTGAAAAAGATGAATTAGTCTTTATGAATGAACAATTGTTTATTTTTTAAAATTTCCAGTTATGTGAAATTTCAAAATGATTAAATTTGTTATTTAGAATAAAAGTAAAGATTAAAAATAAATTAATCTTGTTCACTTAATAATATTAATCACGCTTGTTTAAAAGGGTATAACACAGATCAGTTGTTTGTAATGTTTTATCGACTGTCAGTTAGAGATAAGAAAAATTTCGATGCTGATAATTTAATTGAAATTATAGATTTTTATTGAAAAAATCCCTCAGAACTATTGAAACACATTATTAACCTGGAGAAACATGGTAGATTGAATCTGTAAATTTTAGCAGGTTGATGGCTTTGAATGTTCGATCATACTAAAGTAATGATATGGTTCTACATTATATCTGATGAATTAATACGGATTGTCAATCTTAAAGCTTTTATTGGGTAACATATATTCATATATGTGAAACTTATAGCCATCAGGATAACTTTACTTATAAAACCGATCAATTATAAATACTCATCGCTTTTCTGCATCATTTAAAAAAGGGGACTGTATAGGACAATTCATATAAGGCAGCTAAAATCTATTTTGATAGTTTACGAAGTGATTTTTGAACTCCTCTAATTCTTTCCTTATTTTTTAGGGTTTGATGTTAATGTATCAGTCTATGTTTAGGATTGAATTATCCTTAGGAGATTACCTCTATATTACTAATATGTTACAAGCATCTCTTAGTAATTTTTACCAGTATTTAACATTGAATTCCACAACAGGCTTAGTGTGTTATTTGGGATACATTAACTAGATCTTGCAGCATCCCTATTTCAGTGTTCGAATAGAGCTTTGAACCCAGATTTTGCATCGTAGTATTATGGAGATCATTGTTTTGCTTTGTTAGATCTTCATTAGAAACCTAGACGAACTGGATGGCCGTTTCTTCCTATTGCTGGACTCACTAATGACTAGGTCACTGGTCCAAAGGTTAGGCGTTCACGCGCAAGATTGAAGGTGCTGGATTCTATTCTATTCTTGCAAGAAGCTGGAGTCATAGATGCGCCCAGCTGTTTATTCCATCACCGGGACGAAACTGCCGTGCCCTGCTACATGGTGTATAATGATGATCTAACAGTAATTCATTTATGATTTTATTGTAAATTCAGATTTACACTAGTTTGTGCAACAGGGATTTACATGTGTATGAACCTTTTCATTATTAGCCACTTTCAGATATTGTTTACAAGAAAGAATTATGATCGTTATGGATTGTGATGGACGAATATTTCAATTGGTCTAACAAAATATCGAATAATACACTGTTCAAAGTTTACATTTTTTCTAGATTAACTATAAAAGAAAATTTTTTTAATACGTAACTCTGGCTTTCAAAACAATAATTTCTATTTTACCGTCAACTTTATAATTATATATTCAAATGAATAATTTTTTTTAATGCTTTTTTGAGGGACGTTAGATACCCAGAAATCACTTTATAAAGGTCCTAAATTTGGATTTTGTGGTTTTGAGCTTGGGCTGATCAGCTGACTTTGAGATAACATTTCCCACCAGGAAAATCCTTGTCTGTTATTGGTTGATGTATTATTTTAGTACGCTGTTTTTGTGCTTCTCCGGAGGACGTTTCTATCATGTATACATAAGCTCGACTTGTGTGCTTGTTGACTTCGTATTTTCTAGGTGCTTGTAGAATACACTTTCTACGTCTTGTCAAGACTTCTTACTCTACTTATTAGGGCCTTGGGACACTCGGATTAGTGTAGCCTATCGTGTCGTTTACCGACTAAGGTGAATTCGTAATAGTATCACGCATATCAACTGACGAGCCTAACAGTTTTCTTTTTCATTCAGCTTATTTTTATGATCAATTAAAATATACAATAAAAAACG